TACCCCCTGCGTGATGACAAAACCAGGTCTTCAGTTTTTTTCTGAAGTCTAAAAGGGAGGGGGCCCACTTCACTTCTGGGGGAAGGGTGTTCCAAAGGGCAGGGGCTGCTGCAGAGAAGGCTTGCCTCCTGGACCCCGTCAGATGAAATTCTCTTGCAGTCGGGGTCCGTAGCATGCCCTCTCTGCATGACCGGGTGGGACGGGTTGATATAACAGGGAGGAGACGGTCCTTCAGGTTCACATTCTGTATGACATGTTGAGGAATGGATTCCAAAAGTGGGTGGGATTCATGGGCTTTCAGGGATGAAAATCATTTGTCACACAACTTAAAAAAATGTCCCAAAGGGTTAGGGTCACATCAGAATCTTGTTGGAATGCTCTCCCTGTGCCTTAAGATTCATCCTCTGAGCCAAATAAAACTGATATTAGAACCATAAAATCAAGCAAAATCTTGCCACTCTTTCCTTCTCAAAACTTTTTTTTTACAGAATTCTACCAAAGTCTGTGACTTGTTGCTGAAAATTGTAAGTCTAGAGTAGCGTTTTTCAACCTTGGCCACTTTAAGATGGGTGGACTTCAACTTCCGGAATTCCCCAGCCAGCTATGCTTAAAGTGGCCAAGGTTGAGAAACACTGGTCTAGAGGATTGGACTGTTAATTACGTTGATTAATAGCTGTACTGGTCTTAAAGTTTGCAGTCTGCAATGGTGTAGAGCAATCTACTCAACTGGACACCCTCCAGATGTGTTGGACTAGAACTCTAGTAATATCCTGTCACTGTGGTCAACTTCCTCCACTTGAGTGCCAAACACCATGGATCAAGTTGCCGAGGGACATGGAGGGCTAGGCAAGTGCTTTTGCTAAACCCAGCCAGCTGAATTAATAGACCAGTAACACGGTAACAAGGCATAAATCTGTCAAATAAAAAAACAATATTGAGAAATAAAGTTGATGGAAACAGTAACATCTCAAAAATCCCTTCATTCGATTAGAAAAAAAAAAAGAACTTCATAGGGAGCCTCCAATACAACATTGTTTTATTACAATGTATCTGCTAGTTTGTTTGCATTTTTCTAGGGCTTCATTAAGATCTCATCCTTAAGATTAGCATAAAGCAAGGAAGATTATATTAGTATATGTAGAAATGGATATTAACTTGTATACATTTGAGCCTAGCATAGAGATCTTGCAGGTACTTTATAGTCCTTTCCTGTCATTTTTTTGATTATAATTCTGGGCTCAAACATTTCCAATTGAGTGTAACATACTTGTATTTGAGTACATTGAATAATTTTTTTTCAACTTTTATTTGCTGCCCTTCATACAGTTTTCCCAGGTGGGTGTGTATAAAAAATGGAAGTCTAGTTTATGAAAGTTGATGCCACCATAAATTTGTGTCACACAGCAATCTTTCTTTGTTCTTCCACTAATTTGTGTGTGTGTGTGTGTGTGTGTGTGTGTGACAAAAAGCACGAAAAAAAGGGAAATTGCTTATTGAAGTATTTCTGTTAATAGAGGGATAATGGCCACGATACTTGGTAAAAGGATTCAGGGTTGTCAAAATCCCATAACGCCATCTAGAGGATACAGAGTATAAACTCACATTCCAGTTTTCATAATCTAATACAGTTCATTTATAACACAAAATATTTCTTTTCCAAACTGGTTCCACATTGTTTTACTGAACTGATTTGACATGATGCTAATATAAATGCATGTCTTACATTTTAATGAAGATATAAGACCCTTATCATCACTAAATACTATTATCAGTCATTGAAAAGGATCAGAGATTTTCAATTTTCAGTTAAACCTTAGGAGATATCGTATAAAAATCCCTGAAATGCTGAAAAACTTCATCTCCCCAGAAAAATAAATGTATCTTTACATTAGCACTCAGAAACAACTTCCTTGCTTGTTTTTAATCATTTAATTATACAAAATAAATATTCATCTCATTATATAATATATTGCAAAATACAAGTTAAAGTAAGAATGCAGAATATCCCATCAATAGGTATTATGAACAACAGTATTTGAACCAAAACACCTTACACTTTGAGAAAGTTAGTGAAGAGAGAAACCGCCTTTTCATTCCTTTGGACTTTTTTGAGCTATCTCACATTTGCACACTCGTTTTTAAAAAGCAGGAACAGCAAGAGAATGCCATTTAGAAATTACCAATACCATAGGAGCTTCTTCAGTATTCCAATTAAACTCAAGTTGCTTTAAGATCATAACCCACCCTTCTATTCTCAGGGTCCCTAACAAGGCAGTTGGCAGGAGGACAATCTACTTGTGGACATTTATCTTGGTGCCCACCAGATTCCTTGGCTCCCAGATGGTTTCTATTAAAGAAAGCTAATTTTTCAATGGAAAGCTAGCACGCTGCAAAGCAAAGGTCCAGCTCACCTCATTCTAAACTGGATACAGCTTAATCTTCTCCAATTTAGCAATCCAGTAGGGTGAGAAGAAAGGCATGCATCTCTCCATCCTTTCACTACCCAGATGTTCTCCTACACTGGACAAGAAGGAAAGCCTTGTTCTGCATGTCTAGGAAAGATGCTGAGTAGAATAGATCCTGGAACAGATACTCTATTTCCACTAGCTGGGTTTCCATGCAGGCTGCTTAGGAAAGTCGCTTCTAATATAAAAAAGGCAGCAGACTGATATTTCACGGAATGAATATTATTTTCTCCTCATCGCCAGCCCTCTTAGCTGGATTATTTTTATTTTCTTCAGCAGCCAATTAAGTTTCTGCATTTCATGGAGAGAAAGGACGCACATTTCCACATTCCAGCTATACTTTTGGCAGTCCGCTAACTCAGCTTGTGCCTTCTAATCACCTGTGACAAGTAGACCAATGGTAAAAACGAAAGCTAGCAGAAATATTTAGAATTTCTTTGAGATAATAATGAACATCAGTGAATCACATAATATCAGTTATAATTCATAACATCAGTTAGAGATGCATAATGCCTCCTGATATCATTTAACTGGTTTCTAGTCATGTGCTTCGCATCAACAGAGGACAAGAATTCTGTTTTGCATTAAACACTCCATATTTACATTCATTCAGCCACATGTAGAATAACCTGGTATCTTCAAAGCAACTTAAGTTTGAATATTATTTGAATGATGGATGAATCTGTCATTTTTGTGGTCTCCTATGTTCAAATTGTTAACATCTTGAATGCTTTCTCGGTTTTGAAAAAAATATGCAAGTCTGGGTAAGGTCTTATAAAAAAACAAATGGAATGACATTCCCTTGCATGCCTGCTCTGAGATAGTTAATCTGGAACAAGTTCAAGAGGCTCCGAAAACAGGTTTTTAAATAACAGTTGTTCCAATCAATTTAATATTATGAACAAAATGGGGGGAAAACAATAGGAGTAACATGAAAGAGGTGAAGTACTGGGTTTGATTCCACCAAGGCCTAAATTGCTTGGCCACTGAGGGAGTTGGTATATAAAACTCTTATTGCACAAACTCTTTCCAGTCTATTCAAAATAAGTACAGTATTGTGGGAAGACCCTGCCTCAAACTAGTCAAATAATTTGAACAACTTTCCCCGGATTTGGCTGGAATTATGGCAGTTGCAATCCAACAAATCTGGACAGCTAATCTGGATCATCTGTAGATCATCATGTTGGGATATCTTGTGGACATGGCAAAAACACGCAGAAGACAAGGGAAGAACTTGCAATGATGTCATCCTCCCTGGTATGTGCTTAATTTACAGGGAATTGAATAACTGAGCCAAAAAAAAAAAAAAAAATCATGATGGAAAGTGACCTGCTCAGTCAGATTTCAAAATGTCAATCTTGAGAAGAAATGCATATGCAGAAACAAAACACAGATTTGTCTGAAAAATGTACATTGGGAAAATTTAGCCAGATATTTCAATTATCACTCTCTGCAAGCTTTCAGGACAGGAATGCAAGCTACCCTCCCCCTCATCTTGTAGGTCAAGCACTCCTGCATATCTTTTTGAGTTGAATATATTAACAAACTTCTCCATGAACAGGAAGTCTGAAAAGGATGGTCTCTCAATACAGGAAGGCATGTGGATATATTGAGCTGAACTTGGCAACAAATCTGCTGAGGCTGGTTGCTCAATGCACAAAGAAATACAGAGATACAAAACACTGGAGGGGGGCATGTCTACTGAATGTTTGCACAGATTTATCCTCTGAACCCACCAAAGAAGAGGACTGCAATGATTCCGCCCCCCCCCCCCGCTTTGGGCTAAGCAACACCAGCAACATTTATAGCTGCATTAAACTGCAGTCCTCCTTTATTTCAGCAGACATGCATGCAACAGCCCTCCAAAATAGTACACCAATATTCCAAAACTCAACTTTCACAACTTAACACTACAGTATGTAATCTGATACTTGACAGAAATGAAATCAAGTTCACCAGAGATGTAACGGAGACGTATCAACACCAGATTCATCTTCTCATTGGAGAGAAAGAACAGCTCGATGTGATTTCAGGATGAACTGGCAAATTCTCTGGAAAGTCAGCCTTCTTATGACATTGCATGGTGGCCAGGAACCATGCCTGTTAGGACACTGTTATAACTTTCAATTCTAGCATTGGGGATTTCTTCTTAATTTCCTTTTTCTTCATTATTTGGTGAGACAATGTGCTTAAAAACCACTCCAAATCTTGATGGTCTTCTGGCCATCTCAAGTACTGCCCCCTTTGCAAGAAGACTCTGATTGGCTGATATCTCATAAGCTGATATTGAGAAAGAGATCCCGCTACCACCACAATGAGGACATCCTTCAGATCTGAGAAATACCTGCTCTGGGCAAAATTAAAAGCTTCCACACACCAACCATCCTTGAGAAACTGTCTTGTGACCACACAAATTGTTTTCCTGCAGTTCCAGATAGCATTACGAATATTGCTGATATGATCCTCCCCAGGCAGAAAGTCTCTATCTTCAAAGCAGAGAGCAAATCTGTTCTTCTTAGAATACTGAGAATCTAGATGTTTTATCAAGGAGTTCTGGACCCACTCAAAGTCTTTGCTGCTATAGCAAAGGTAAGCATCATACTTGTATCCCTGTTGATCCAACTCTGGTGGGTGCTCCTTCATGAGGAATTGTGTGAGTCTCTTATAACAGAGGAAACAAGCTCCCCTAAAACGAGTAAAAACAACGACTGCCACCTGAAACACAGTTAGACCAACACAGGTAAAGATGAAGAGTGACAGCTGCAGAGTCTCCATGAGTTTGTCTTTACTGCAGTCATCTGTATTTAAGTCTTGGAGAGGAATGCCAACGAACTCCGGTGGTCCAGAACAGAACATATCTTTGGGTGACCCAGCTAAGGTAACATTGGTGTGGTTTAGCCATATAATAAGGTTGCTTAATAGGCAGTTACAGTAAAATGTGTTATGGGTGATATCCAGCTGGTCTAACGTTGCAAAGAGCTGAGGATCAGGGTAAAGCAGCTGATTTGATGACAATTTAAGAATTTTTAGGCTTGTAGGAAAGGCATCATGAGAAATGGAAGTCAATAGGTTGTAATCCAAGTTAAGTGTCTCGAGTGACATTAGCTCACTAAATATTCCCTCTGGGAGAAAAGTAAGGTAGTTGTTATTGAGATGGAGAACTGCTAAGTGAGAAAGTGCTTTGAACACATCCAAGCATAAACCTCTCTCCCATATAAGCTTTAGCATGTTGTCTCCAAGGTCCAAGTAAATCAACTGGTTGTCCTTTGCTATGTCTTTGTCTTTGTAGCAATAGGAGAAACGATTGTTTCTTAAAATGAGATGCTTTAGGACTGGAATTTGGAGAAGTTCATAGAGGTCACCCAGATTCTCCAATCTGTTTCCTTCCAAGTGAAGGAATGTGGTATTTTTAGATGCTATTTCGTTGACACGTGTAGACTGTAGCCGGTTGCCACCTAACAAAACAAAGGTGAGATTTGGGAGAGAATAGATTACTTTCAAAGCATTATCCCTGAGATCCACCTGCTGAAGCCTTGGTAAGGATTTGAATGGATCTCTGTCCATCACTCCAATGTGGTTACGTTGTAGATCTATCTCAACCACATTGGGAAGTCCTTCAAAAGTGTACTGATAGAGCTCACCAAGTAGATTGTCTGATAGGTATAGATGTTGCAGGTTCTGAAGACCAAGAAATGCTTCTTTCCAAATTTCATTTATTTTGTTATTATTAAGATTAAGCATCTTCAAATCATGAAGATATTGAAATACACGTGGTTTAAGAGAAAAAATAAAGCCATGTGAAATATTAAGCAAGAGGAGGCCACTGTTAGTAAGACCTACAAATGTATTATCATCAGGATCAGGAAGATTATTAAATCCAAATGATGCACCCATAATGTGAGAGGAGATCCTCAAATCCAAAAGTGGAGATCCACTAATAGCTCTGCAGAATTGCTCTGTTATAGTTGTATCCCAGCCATTACCTCCAACATCCAGTGTTTCTATGTGAATGTTTTTTAAAGGGTTCCCACAAGTGGCCCAATCCACAGGAGATTTTGAATACAAACTAGTAGAACGAAGAATAAACATTTTGAACCTTGCTCCTCGAAAACTATTAAGATCCCCTTCACAGACAGATGCAATAGGGTTTAATTTGAAGTCTAGAATGGCCAAGGATTTCATGTTATAAAATATTCTGTGAGGACGAATACGAGTGATTCTGTTATATTTAATGTCCAGATATTCCAACGATATCAAATCTCTAAGGTAATCCTCTTCCAGAATGGATTCATCAAGATTATTTTTAAACAGCAGAAGAGTATGTACTTTAAACAAACCAACAAACGCATCAGGGTCTAAAATCATCATTTCATTGCCACCCAAATCCAATTCTGTGAGATTTGGCAAGTTCCTAAAAGCATCTTTTCCTATGGTTAAGGGAAAGCGTTTTTGTGTCCCAAGTGATAAAATCCTTAGTCTCTCCCTCAGTGGGAAAGAGGTCGCATTCACTTCCTGGATGAAGTTGAAATTTAGGAAGAGAAGAACAACCTGTTCAGGCACAGGGGGCACCCAAGTGAGGTTGCAGAAATCATAGAATGCTTTGCTGCCTTCCACTGAACAGCTGGGAGCTGAAAGTGCTTTTCTGCACGCAAGCACTGTGCCAATGACAAATATCATGCAATGACGAAGCATCGTGCCTTCAGCCTATGGCTGGGGGAAGGGGAGGGGGAAAAAACATCATTATTATTTGCATTGGACTGCAGAGATCTAAATTAAACATAACAACACAGGTTATATAGAGAAATCAAAGCTTTTATACCTAAGAGTTGCTACTGTGAATTCATAAAAAAGGAGGTCATGCTGGTGGTGGTCCTGCTTGTTCCCTTGCACCTTGTTTACAGCCCTTGTTTATACAAAGTTTGCTGCTTCGGCAAATAGGAAAATTCCATATTTTCATTATGTCCTGGCACTGATAAGAAAGAAGAGCATTGCTTAGAAATGAAGCTTGTCAACACGGTATTTTCCTATGTTTCCACAGAAATAAACTACATTGCAGTTAAGAGTTAAGTAAGTATGCATAGGATCGCAGTTTTAATTTCTTTTTAGTCCAACCTATCATACAAGTGTGAAAGATAAATGGGATGAGCTTATTTATGATACTATCCCATGTTCCTGGGAGAAGCCGAGCAATAATTCCCTATTTAGCATGTAAGGTTTCAGGCTGTTCCCCAACAGTACTTCTGGGAGCATCTGTAGGGGAGGCAAAAAAAGTTAAGATAGCAGCTGCAACCACATGATTGAATCCCCACCACTTTTCTAGGTGTGGCTGCAGCCTTTTTTTTACCATCCTGAAAATGCTCCTGATATTTGCCAGTGAGATGATGCCAGAATGGGGAATAAAATTTTCACTGTCTTGGTTTGCTATATTTGTTCTTTCTTCCTCCTCTTTGATTGATGAAAACAGAACCACATTAAAATAGCCCCCAAATATTTTTTAAAAAATATTGCTGCAAAAATCATTGGTAAGATACCAGTTCTAGCCTCTTCTTCCTCAAAGTAGTCTTTGTGATTTTTCTACTCATGGAGGTCCAAGTGTCTTCTACCATATTCTGTGAAGCTGAAGTTGGCAAGCTCTTGTCAGAAATCCCAGGGAACCAACAATTGGAAATTCTGGAAGTTTCTGTCCCAATGCAATTGGAGGGTGCTAGGCTGGGGAGGAGCGATTAAAAAGGCTTACAGTAGGTTCACAGCTACACCATGGAAAGAATCTATAGAGGGGAACTTTCACTGTGCAGACTGGCTGAAATAGCTGATAAGAAACCTGAAGAATTTTGGTTTCCTTCAGTATCATTGTGCTGAGAGTTACGAAGCATAAATTTCAGCAGAACCAAATCACTGCCAGCCATCCCATAAATGTATTCCAGGATTGGGGAAAAATTGGCTTGGGGCCAGCAGTTAGGAGATAGGCCAAGCCTATCATGAATTACTGTTCCTGAATAAGTAAACTGTGGCATCTTGTACAGGCAGCATTTGCTCTGAAGAAATGTTCTACTTTCTTTTCTTGATTACTAGTAACATCTACATCCTTTGAAGCTATACAGTTTCCCTCTCTCCACTGGGTGTTAGGGCAAAGCAATTTGCCTTGTGGATAGCCCATCCTGACAATTTTGACAGTGACTAAGGAAAACCTCTGGCAGTCTTTCTTCAATATCAGTTTTGATGCCAAAAAAAAAAAAAATCAAGATAAACTCAAGCTGTGACCTCAAGCAGTTGTAATGACTGGAATTTTTTTATCCTGATTAGACAACGAGGAAGAATAGTTGGATTTATTGGCAACGCCCTCTTTCCAGGTCTTTGTAACTGTGTTTACTTCTGGAATGATCTCTAAACCTTCTGGAGAGGATACCAAATGGTACACAGATCAACTTCCTATTTCTCTATGACTTGTAGAGAACAGGGCACAGAGCAAGCCAGGATCTCAGACCATGGACATACCATTTTTTTGAGCTGAGAGCTTCATTTGGCCCTTGAGTGGTATGCCAGGGGCTCATTTCAAAAAGAAAAAGGAGACCAGAACAAAAAGTACATTTGAATTGGTTTCAATCTAATGTAAATTGAATTAGATACAGTAGTTACTGTCTCCACAAATTTGATAATTTCGGATGCATAAAATTGTTGACTTTTCAACCTGCCCTGAGATCCCTATCCAAGACTTCCAGAAGCAACATTTAGCCCTGGGAATGCAAGGTGTGGACCTGTATTTGAAGGGAGAGCTGTTATTGGTTCTATCCAGACTTTCTGAACAAGTAATGCCTGGGAGGAAAGATAACTCCAGGGTATCTTATCTATAAACCACTCTGATTAATTTTCTAAGTTGGCAAAAAAGCTAGTCATCCACGATTTATGAATGTGCATTTTACTTTTGGACCATTCACAAATATTTGTACCTATCTAAACCTTTAATTATTTGGTGGATAAACAAGATAAATGATCTTTCATGCATAATATCACAGCAGGTAACAAAGCTAAACAAGGTTAGTAATTTAATAGAACACCACTAGGAAATCTGAGGGCTGAAGACTAATTTTGGAAGTTGAAAAAATATCCTGAAAGAAGGTAACAGCAAGCCACTTCTGTGCTATAGCCAAGAAAACTTCATGGACATGTTCATGTAACCACCAGGAGTCAGGTTTGACTTGAGGGAAACTGTGGCACACCCTAACTTTTGAGGGTGTCCCTTTTCTTGTTTTGCTTTGTTTTTGGTTCCTCCCTATCAAATCACAATCCCAATAATCCAGGGAGATTTCTAAGTGTTCCACTGGTTTTGCTGCCACCATCAACCCTTCTCTGATTTGGAAATAGTTTTCTTTTCTCCTGTTTCTCTCTCTTTATCATTTGTTGGAATGTGGGGAAGGTATAATCAGAATAATTCTTTATATATGATATTTGAGAGTGAATCAAAGGAACTGTTATTATGTAACTTAAAAATAGAATTATAAACAGGAACACTTAAGATTACAATTTAAGCTACCTGCAGCACTCCTCCCTCAATTTAAGTTGGGTTCCCAGTGACAGATCTAATAACCAGTCATCACAGAGACTTTATCATATGTGATAATCATATATGATTATATCTTTCACTCTCTTAGTCTCTGATACAAATGAAAAGTACTTTGAGGCCTGCAGCTAATATTTTGGCTGATAGCTAACATCCCACCCAAATTTCCCTCCCTCAGCTCAGCCACACATTTATACATATTAAGTCTCTTTATCAACTTTGGCTCTTTCTGCATGTCCTCTTACCCACCTCTGCTGTCTTTGGACAGAAACCATTTTTTGTGTGGCAGACAAACAGGAAGGCCACCTCCATTTCCCTGTACAAGTCAAAGACTGGAAATTCATGACATCAAGTTGAAGTCTCATCCACTAGATTGACCTCTGTGTATGCAGGAAGAGACTTCAGCTCACAAGTTCTTGGAAGAAGAGACGAGGGGATAGAGAACTACTGCCTTGGACACTAGTATGTATGTGAGGTGGGGCACTGTTTCTCATGACCTCTATCCCCATTCTCCATGGCTGTTCTTAACAAAGCTTTGCCAACAGAAATACAATTCAAGACTCCCAGTCCCCAGTGAACATTCACATGTGGGAGGTATGTGTGGTTTGAGAGCCTTCCTAAAATGCCTTAGAGATTGCAGCACCAAAGGAATGAGTCTTCCCTACCCCAAAAATACCCTCTTATGAAAAGAGGAACATTTATTTTCTGCCCAGCTTGCATAACTGTCGGTTTTCTGATAAAGCCACTCTGCAGAAGAACACAGCAGATATTCACCAGTATTTGAGTACAATCAGTTTAATCCCCCACAGAAGGGACTTGAGCAATTTGCAACTGGGGGTGAGAGACACACCACAGCCAGTTACTTCTGTTTGCCCAAAGTCATCAACCCTTGCTTAAGCAACAAGAGAATTAGTACAATGTGTCCTCTTTGCTGACAGCGTTGTAATTTGAATCAGAATGACAGAATACATTAAAATAAGCTCTACATTATATGCAGATCTAAGTTTAATTGAGAATTAAAGACAACACACTTTGAATCAAGGAGTGCTGTGGTGGGAAGTCATGTTAAAGTCACATCTGTGAGTTTTACTTTTTTCCACAAACGGTTGTTTCCCAGTTTCATGTTTTTTTCCATCCTGGTGACGAAGAAATCTGCATTTAAAAAAAAGCATTTATTCCTCATCTAATATACCCCTCAACTCATAATAATACTTATCCTACCAGACTTTTTTCTACTGAAATTCTCCTCTTCTCCTTTTAGATTTCAAATAGGAATCACCCTTTAACACATGCATCAGGAAACCCGCAATGGGGGAAAACATTCAAGAAGAATACGGAGTTGAAAACTGGTCAGGAGGGAAAGGCTTATGCAACTTTCTCTCCCCACTACAGTGTTGCTTCAAAACCATAGCCTGCTGAGTTGATTTTCTAATAAAATAAAAGTGTCATTTGTATGTAGGGTGCCTCAGGCTTACATTATAATAATCTCTTCTGGTAAGAAAGGGGTAATGAAAATTATCAGTAAGGCTACTCAAATTTGATAATAAAAAAGGAGGAAAATAGTCTGCTTTCTTAGTATTCAAACATATGAGAAAGAAAGCAATTTGTCTGAAGGCTTATAATTTCAAAAAGATGAGGATGGAAGAAGAAAGACCTCACATCTCCATGCCAAGTCTGCTCTGCAGTAAGATCCATGGAATGCATAATTTTTATCATGACTCTACACCAAGTCAGCAATTTCAATGAGTTAAAAATTGTTTTCCTTGACAATGCCAGCTGAGATACCATCAGCATAAATCCTGACTTCACATATGTACTCAGAATCTGAGCTGGCATAATTGAAGTATGGAATTTACTTCCATGACTGTGATGATGGCCACCAAGTTTAAATTAGACAGACCAAGGAAGCAGTTACCAATGTCTACTACTTATGACAGTGATACGGCTTCCTCCAAGTTCAGAGGGCACATACTTCTCCATGCCAGCTTCAGGGAAATAAAAGCAGGAGAGTGCCACTGCTCTCATGCCTTCTATAGACAGCTGGAACAGAAGGATGAACTAAATAGGCCTGGTCTTATCCAGCCCAGCTCCTCTTAAGCTTCCTCTGAGAATCATGGGACTACTCCAGGAATCCCTGTTCAAGAAACACCTTTGCCTGATCATACCTTGAGAACAACCAAAGCCCAGGGAAGAGGTCATAGACTGGCAGTTTATCTTTCAGGGTGAGTTAAATTTATGAGGATTTATCAGAACAGCCAGGTCCACTGGGCAAAAGTTAAGCTTTAACCAGAGATGAAAGACCACAAGCCAAGTACAAGTCTCCATCTTGGGTAAACCAGCCTCAAATTGCAAGGTGGCATCAGGGACACCTTTGGAAATCTGAAACACTGGCCTCAGGACTTTAAGTTGCG